TATACAAGATTAGGATTCTAACTTTCTGCAATAGGATATAGAGAGTTACAAAATATACCTCACCCAATCCAATTAAAACGAGACGCAATCATCGGATTAAATGCATAACTTGAGAATCATGAGAATCCGTAGAGAAGACACCGACCTGTGTTCAATTTGTCCTATCAGATCCAACACAAATGAATTTGGATTTGCCATATATGAATAGACAATAAGAAACATACAAAATTGAATAGAAACATCGATGTACGTACATAGATAGGAACATTCGTTTCATCATACCGGATACAAGAACTACCGGCTTTCTCAAATCCAATACAAACACCATCGAACAATCAGTCTCAATATACGCATTGCGAAAAGCGCTAATCCCAATAGAGACACCACATCGATCACCCGATAGATACTCTACCAAATTCACCAGTCTACAATACAGACACCATTCGACCTATCGTACCCGATACAGGATACAGACACGAGCAACTCCCACAGATATGATACGCACGCGATCCAACTCATCGAATTTATTTTATGTGCATTTTGTATACGGTTGCATTTTGTAGCAGGGTCACATTCCCATTGCTTTTTGTGGCAGTGGCCTTTTCGACACGGCGAATGCTGTATTGAGTTGTAGTCGGAGATTAACCGAACGTTTTAAAATAGCGGCAGTAAATACGAAATACAGACTACCTTTTTTAAAGTATATTTCTTACATCAGCAACCTGGGATTTCGAATGCTAACTGACCAGGAATACCATAGAGCACAGCGTCAGTGAAACTATGATGTATGAAGGGTATAAATGTCTCGGAATATCGGACGTGTTCCCCAAATCCTAATATAGCTCTGTTAAACTTGATAAGTTTAGAAATGCCTGCATGATACCTAGTAAAGTGATAATTTTCCACTTTAACTTTATCGTACCTGATGGATCTAGTGCTTTTTGTTATGTCTGTTGAATCGAATTGTATCTGTCTGGAATTTGACGGGCCCGATGGTATCCATAGCGACCATAACGCGTTGAATGGATTTAATATTTATGTCAAGTATGATTAATGTAACCTTCTGCTACTGTAATAAAATGATGAAACATTTAGTATGAGTAATCTAGAAAATAATTACCTCTGTACGTAAAGTATCTCTAACAATAAATACAGATGATTATCTTTGCTGTAAGAAACAAATATCGAATTGTACATTTCTTTTCAGCAGCATCAGATTTTTCACAGATGTAAACGAAGCCTTTTATAGAAGCAAAAATGGATATACACGCAACTACCAACGATATCACAAATATTTAAAAAATAGCACGATGACGTGTAGGTGATCGTTGCTAACCTAAATTGAAGTGTTTACATTGGGAGTTGGGACAAATCCGATCTATCCGGGTAAACGCACATCCACAAAGTACCTAAATAAATGATCTGTACAATCATTTGCATAATTCAACAACATAAAATAATTGCCATAACTAAAAACAAGGTACTTTATCATACTGTTACAAGTATTTCAACCTTTCTCGAAATTTTATAAAATTTACTTCGTCAAATAAAATATATGTGAATTGAAGAGGAAATAGATATTAGCGGAAAAAATATAAAGTACATCCTACGAATTCCCTCTTATAGAAACAATGTTCAAAATTAAATTTAAATATGTAAATTGATTGAAAATGCTAGAAATACCTATACCAAATATTATAAATTCATGTTCGCCGCATAATATTCCTTTAAAATATTACTTTAAACAATGCATATGTTCTAACGAGATTTTTATATTGATATGCTGCTCTCATTATAGTAACAAACAAAAGAGATTTGTAATATTTTAAGAAAAACGTTAAAGAAATACAATTGGGCCGAAAATAACCGAAAAAGGTAGCAATTAAATTATATATAATTTAATTTTCTTATATTTTATGTTCCCACCTAAGAATAAGAAAAAGCGTTATCCATATATGTTATTTATATGAATATATTAACGGTAATTAGCGCGGATAATTAATAGACAGACAGATAAACGACAATGTTCGACATTATCATACTTATGCGAACAGTTAATTGTAAATGTTTATGAAAATATTTACACACGATCGAGCATGTAATAGCTCGTAAAAAGAAAGTTACAATCGATTTTATTTTGGGAAATAATAGTTATATAGATAACAACTTCTCTTATCATTTTTGGCTGTTACTTGCTATTGCATCTAATTTGAATATTTGAAATATAGTTACTCGCGAAAATATTAGCTTACTTTCCATAGAAAACTTTTATGAATGTATTATATTATGTGCATTATACGAAACTTTTTAATGTTTCATTAATGGAATAAAATCTGGATGGAACTGGAATGAGACACGATTATTGTGATTATATTGGTAAAATTTGAAAGCAATCCAATAATGTATACGTAGAAGTGACAAAACGTTCATTGCAAACATACATTTAATAAAAAAATTAATATACTACATGAGTCTTAAACACATAATTAATAGTAAAAATGGTCTCTCTAAATATCATGACTTACTACAATAAATACTCTAGTGAATAACTGACTATTTAAATAATAATCTTTACGAAGTGTACTTGTATGTTTGCAATAAATTAACAAATATCTTATACCTTCTATACACATTATCAGATTTATTTCAAACGTTACTAATATAATCATGATAGTCATATCTCATTACAGCGCTAATAAAACATCATAAAGTTTCGTGTAACACTTGTAATATACCTATGTATATATTTATAAAATGTTTCTATTGGGTGTCCGAATACTTTCGCGAGCCACTATGTGATTATGTGATACATATGTGATTTTAATACATCGTTGAAACCATAAGAATCGAAAAGTGTACTGCTACTGTGATATATCTTTCTTTGTTTTTCTTACGAGAAGTTTTACGAAATAAAAGTTCAAATATCTTGTAAACTAATCAATTTCGATCGATGTGATTATTAAGTAAAAGATATTCATTTTTTATATGTAGAAAATAAAAAGATCGTTTGGTATCGATTGCTATATAGAAACATTTATAATTCACTTTAAAACAATAAAGGTAAACTCTTCAAAACTCAATCGGAACGTTTTCATTTTGCCTAATGACATATCTTTTATTTTCTATCGTTTTAGAGCTACATATATGTATGTAGTTTTGCCAAATTGCACAGAACACTCTGTATAATATAGTAAATGTTTCATTAAAAGTTCGACGTTAAATTTTGTATATACGTAGTACATTAAGAAAAAAAAGGATCCTGTTTAATACTTCAAAAACTCATAATATTCATTAGAAAGAACAAAAACTAATTAATCGATATGATAATTTCAATCTAAAATGGAAGCTTAATGCTTTCCATTTTCTTGTAAGAAAATTTAATGAGACTGATTTGTTCATACATAACAATCCAATTGAATTACAGCAATGAACAGAAATTATGCGTAATACATAACAGAACGAAAGATAAAATGAATAGATTCTTTATAAATATATATACATACGTATAGTATAGCATGTACAATACTAATGACTATCAGAGATTTTGCATAAATGATATAAATGATAGATTTGTGAGAAAAATATAAAGGGACAGAAGGTTACTACTGTTTATATTGTATAATACGTTACGGAAACTTTTCATTTATGTTGAGTTTCTCATAATAAAAAAATCATGGATGACCTAACTAAATTTTTTCAATTTGTCATAGTCTTTTTTATAATAAGGAAATCACAGTAAAGAAATTAAGAAATTAAATTACAGAATTTTTACCGAAAAATTGTTGATATTCGAACTGTTATAACTTGGTGAGAAAAAATCATATAGTAATTCATTTGACATGATTTTACTACGAAGCCCCTATTTTCACTCGATAAGATGAATCATCTCGAAGATGTTTTTACGCTAACAAGCAGTATGAAAATGTAAAGATGGTTTCCTTCCCCGAAGATTTTATAGAACTAAACGCCTCTACAAAATTTAAAAAATTTCTTCATGACTTACATCACCATGAAGAATGAAGATTGAAACCTCTCTTTTACAACGACTCCTTAAAAGTTTATATACGATTTCATGTTGCCGTTTTATTGCGTTTTAAATGAACAGTGTGATGCCGATATTAAAATAGCGAATAACGAACGTTACTCACACACACACACACGCGCGAAATTACCAAAAAATGTATATATGTATGTATGTACTTCCAAAAAATATTATACTCCAAAAAAATTGATTACAAATTCTACATTGATTAAGCATGTTTTTATTCCTGTCAGCAAAAATAAAAGAAATTTTATTCGAATTGAGTTCCCTTAAATAACTCAAAATTTTCAAAAATTCATATTATTAAACAAATATATCGCAACAATCGATAATTATATCGAAATTATATAAAAAATATCGAAATATAAACAGCAGTTCGATATCATAACAGGTGCATATGTATATGTAGATATATATACATAGGTATGTGTATATACCTCAGCTATTATTACTTCCTGATTAGCCAAACCCAAAGAATACACGGTATATCTTACATAAGGTGTCTTGATTATTAGGGATTGTCTTTGGCTTGGCCAAAATGAAATTTTATCATACATTCTGACATTCTATAAAAATCATCTTAATTTCGTTTCTGTGTCTACATTGCATTCTATCTTTACATTAATAAATAAATACTACCTTACTTTATTCCAGAAAAGCTTATTTTTCACATTAAAGAATATGCTTAATAATCGATTTACTAAGAATTAAATTGAAGAATTAATCAATATATATAAACGATAAAAAAACTAGTGTTACACAGAAAATACAAGTTGTTAAAAATACACGTTTCGCTAGTATTATGATATTTAAAATATGATAATGTGTAAAACAAAAAACAAATTTAAAAATTTTCAGAGAAAATGTTAAAATTAAGAAATGAAATAAGATTTCATACAAGATAATTTGTCTTAAATAGTTGTTTTATTTTCATGCCACTATGCATATATGCATTTACCTTGATACGATGCGTTGCACTGTCTAAAAATTTTTCGGCAGCGATGTCGTTTATTTGCGTAATAATCGTTTTCGTTATCGCTAGAAAATCGTCCTCCGATAAAGTTGGTTAGCCAGTAGCTACAAAATTTCTAATATAGAAAAGCGTTTCACTAATTATTTATGCACACACTGAATCAATTTTTCACCACTGAACTCTATACATTAGTATAAACTGTCGATAAATAGATAATGCCGGCACAGTGTGTTCTCTTTTTCTCCCAAGATCGAAACTGTTAAGTACTGGAATCGAGTCGTCAAGCCGTTTTCAAAAACCGATTGTAAAATCAAACTTGACGTATTCTCTTGCTTGTCTCATCGATTAGAAACGAAAGTACTGCAGATTTCGATTTACGATAAGTACTTTGTACTGCTTGCATTGAGGTTAGGTTTTGCATTAAGTACAAGAATCATGTGAGCCATTAAATGACGTCGATAACAAACCCTATAATTTGCTAACCCACGTCAGCCGTACTTTTTTATCGTTTAATTGCACACACTTCCTTCCGGTTTCTTGCAATTTGGAACACGTATCGATATGAACAATTAATATGTTCAGCAATTAATACGATCCGAAAATTTAATGACTTGAACGATATTACAGCAGCTTAGAGTCAGACTATTTTATTCCTTTTTCTTAAATTTTGTTTAATTGATCAGAGAAGTTATGTGACGTTTGCAGAAAAACATTTTGGATCATTCCCATCATCTATCAATACGACTAACGCAGAACGATGGTCACCACGCTGTCTTACCAAAGAAATCCACAAACTTCTTTCTCTGAGACACTTGGATCGTATCGACCGGCTTATTTTGCGGGAATTTTCGTTGCACCAAGAAGGGCACACAAATACATATGTTGAATTTGATCAGTTGCAATGGCGAGGTTCCGTCTCGTTGTTTCTTCGCCACAGTGAATCACGCTTACTACCCTTTCTCTCAAACAGAATGTGTACACTCGTGTAGTATCCGTAAAGAAAATTTTGATGTAATTGATGCAATAAGTATCTGCTTCTTTTTCAACTTGTCATTCAACAATTCGATGGTACATCGAATGACACTTAACCTAAGCGCGTCATAAAAATGCGAAGCGCACCACCGCCAAGTCGTGTCGTGTCGTGTTGTGTGCACGATATTCGTCAGTTCTAACCTTGAAAATACAGGTTTCAACTTGTCGAACTAAAACTTTAACGATAAGTACGCGGTAACTAACGAACGTCGTCAATTCTCGATATTGTTTTCACCGTAGAAAATAACTCGTCACCAAAAACTTTTCGCCAACAACTACTCCATTTTTGTGAATACAAGTTGTCGATCATACTCTTTACACCGGACGGATGAATAAACCACGAAATAAAGATATTTTAATCGGATAGCCGAGGCTATGGTGCCGCGTTGTAGGCCATAAAGCGGCCGGCACGCAAAAAACCGGTGGCAGTCTCAAGAACCGTACACCCCCGATTACACATCCTTCCTGGAGCCCTGGCAAGAGCCAACTGCTCGGCGCACTTGTATGCCAACATTCAAGGCGGTCTCACACAACTCACAAGTGACCAGCTGATCGAACAAACTACCTGGACGTTTATTACGTACACCAGTTTGATTACCTCCTACTCTGTATAAACATACTTATTTAAATTAAATGTAACTTGTCTTGAATTTTAAATGCATATACTACCAAGAAAAACGATCTATGCGATCAAAGAAATTAAACGGAAAAAGAGCAAACCAGAGAAGAGGAACAGCGATCGTATGTCCCCCTCCTGTCTTTAATATAATCACTACTTCACATGAGTTACCAAATTTTCAATGGAGTTGAAAGAGGGCACCACTGACTGCAATCGTGTAGGCACACTCCAAACTCTGCCATCAGATGGCTACCGGCACATCGACATGCGATACTTTCTCGCTAGTACTTTCAATCCTATCAGCTCCTATTATGTTCTTACGAAATAACTTATCAGTTTTTCCATCACGGTGACTGCTTAAATTACGACCCTGCAAGGTAAATTTTATTAACAAGTTTACTAATGATCATATAAACAGGTCTGGACACTAGTTAGAGAAAATCGACCGAAAATTGAGTCGTATCTAGTTGTGACAAATCAACATGGACAGTAGGCAAAGATCGCGTTCTTGAGAGACAGACAGAGGTGAACATAGTGTCTCTGTCTCTGACTGAGACATTCATACTATGTCACGCATGCGCAGAACGAGAACCTTCTTGCTTATCATGTTGATTTTTCACAGCTAGTCACGACTCAATTTTCGGACGGTTTTCCTTAGACTTCGGTGTACGAGTGTCGAGATCTATTTGTATGAGCCACTCCCAAGGAAAACATAATCATGTAGTACTTTAGGGACGCATCGATCATTGATCACTGACTCAATGACTTGTATTGCGAGAAGAAAATAAACCAGTTAACCATTTACATTGGTTCAGCCTTACTTGATGAAAATAAAATTGCGCTTCCGCAATCACATCCAATCACCAATGCGGTCCTAAATACTATGTCCCCTCCTCCCTAGAAACGGCCACATCTTTCGTCAATTATTGCACGGTCCCTATAGTCTCTACCGTTCCTACATTCTCATGTCCATAACAGTCAGAACTTTTGAACCAGCGAATTCCGTAACTTAAAATTTATATTTTGAAATTTTATAGGTCGAGAACTACAAGACTGCAAATAAAATATATAATTTTTGGTACCTTAAAATAAAGTTCAACCAATTCAAAGGAATAGAAAACAATTTTTTATTTTGTGATTGAAAAATGTTTAATCGTCATTAACGTATCTTTGTAGGTTATATTTTATTCATAAGTAATATACTCTTTAATTGATTAATTGTGTGTAATGTCAAAGGAATTTAACATAATATATATATGCTAAGTTATACACATATATAATTTTTACACAATAAATATGCTTTATGGGATCATCTTTACTAGAATAATTTTCGGACATATCAATCCACGCCTGTCATAAATAATGAGTAGAGAACGTTTAAATTTATTATAAAAATATTATTTTTTATTTAAATAAAATATAACATTTCTTATATTTTGGACCTAGTTGTGCACCATGCGGCTAAGTGCTGGGTTTAATTGACATTAACATGTACAAGAACCTAGAAAATTAGAGATCTCTGCCTTGTTTGGTTGCATACTAGCATAGACAAGAACGTATTGGGTTCCATTCCAAATTCCATTGAGTTATACAAGAAACATTTAATTGTATGGTTCTACGGAAAAGTTCATATCTACTATCCTATCCGAGATAGACAAGTATAAGAATGATAAAATCGTGCAATAATGAAACTAATTGTAAATTGAGAAAGAGAAATTAATTGTTTACTATATTTTTGAACGATGACACACATAAAGCCGAGTTAGAAATAGTACAAACTGTTAGAATATAATAATTTACTAACAAAAAAATAAAAGAAATAAATAAATTTCTGTCGTTGAGAAAATCTAAACTGATCTTCGCCCTTCCTTTTCACTCTTGATACATGCATGCCCTCTTTTTTTTTATGTCTTCTCGAGCGCGGATCTTCTTTAGCTTTAACGGAAAGTTCTCCTTCAGAATAGTTGAAGGGGAATTGATTCTTCAGAAACTGTAGAATTCGGAACACGATTGTTTTGTAGGCTGACTTCACAGTGATTGATTGCCTTATCTTATGAATAAAAGAGTCAATGGGGAACAGCATTCTTGCCTTCTGCAACGAAGCGTCCTCTTCTCAGGCGAAGATGTCGGGATTCATCCTCTTCTTCTTGATTCGTCCTCTTCTTTTCGGACGAATGTATACTATTTTGCATTTAATAGAAATAAAACTGGAACATTGTATTTTTTCCAAAAGTATTCACTAATATTTACCTCTAGAATAATAGAGCAATGAAGCTGGTGTGAAATCATAAAAATTTACGTTTTACAAAATGTTATTTTTAACACCAAAAAAATTTGTTACCTCTACACTAATAAACCACGTCCACTTGCTGTTGTTGGTAGTGGTAGTGGTGATGTTGATACCCTTCTTCGTCTTGCCCTTCTTCTTTTTTCATTAGCTGTATTTCGACTACAAGCTGTCTTTCTTGTACATCTTCTGTTTCTTCTTTATTTTTTAAAGAAATATTTTGATGGTTCGGGCACGACATTCTTCTTCAACCTTTTCCTTCTATTCGTATTTTTTGTAGGATTTACTTTGAACATTTCGGATAAAAAATGATCCGCACAGCACCCATATTCCTTAAAGTGAAGCGACATAATATTTTAAAATGGGATTGCCTGTTAAAAAAGTAGTACATATGGATAGTAATAGGAAGTAATATAGATAAAAAGAGTAAGAAGGGTACAAAAGACGAAAATAGAATGACAGTCGTGACTGAAAGCTGAGATGAATTTAGAAGTTAGCAATTATTATACATACAGGGTTATCCACTTAATTCAGAACCCACGCTCGCGAGAACATTGAAAATGACAACATTGTACATGTGTACATACTATTCCAATCAAATATTGCGAGTCATCTATGAGCTATCGAATACTGATTAAATCTGTCATTTAAAGATACGTTGGGCTTCTTATCATCCTATCATAAACAAATTCCGTCGTTTGCCAACTAGTTCGAACGAACTCAGGCACTGAGTTAAATTAATATACTTTTTATGTTATTATCATATTATTTGTTAAATGTTATCAACATTACGTCAGAAAACTGTAAATTCTTACATACATACGTGGAATAGCGTATTCGTAATGGACACGTGGTCATTCACTCTTAACATCTGTCGCTTCAATTACTATATGTGTTGTACATATGTATGTACATATAATAACAATTAAAACGAAAGAGAAATTCGATTTTTCGTAAGATACTCTTAGCAATTTCTCGTAAGGTACTTTTTATTGTTTTTAATATTTTAATTCAGTGTTTATTTAGTACATGCTTGATTTTTCCATGCAAGATGTTTACATTATAAATTGATAATAATTTGTTATGAACTAGTACAGTTAAAAAATATAAGATGTGCGGAATTTGGGCTCTCTTTGGATTAGATGTACCATGTTTAACCAATATTTCTGAAAACTTTGAGAGGATAGCACATCGTGGTCCAGAAGCATTTAAACTTGAATTTGATCATGCAGTTAAGGTATAATTTCCTTAAAATTTTTTAAAGTACTTTTCAAACAATTATACATACATTTATTAACGTAATTATATAATATAAACAAATTTTTGTAATCTTTTCTTGCAGAATGGTTATCTTGGGTTTCATAGATTAGCAATTGTGGACAATCTTCATGGAATGCAACCAATGAAACTTTATCAATATCCACATTTACTTTTACTATGCAATGGTGAAATTTATAATTATCAAAAGGTAACACTGTCATTTTTCGTTATTGTTTATTTAAATATTATTTTATTTTCAGATAATTGTTTCACTTATTACATAATAAATGTAATTTTATAGCTTGGTATGGAACATGGATTTACATATACAACCAGATGTGATGTTGAAGTGATAATACATTTATATGTACATCTTGGTATTGAAAACGTGACAAAAATGCTTGATGGAGTCTTTGCATTCTGTTTAATGGATATTGAAAGTAGAAGGATTCTTATTGGTAGAGATCCCTATGGTGTTAGACCTCTTTTCCGATTAAGCTCTGATGATGGACAACTTGGGATTTGTTCAGAGAGCAAAGTAATAAATTAAATGTACATTCTTTTAGTATGAAATAAACATTTCTGCCATTAAAATGTTTGTTTAGGGGCTTATGGAAATAACTAAACAAATGACATCGAAATGGACATTGGAGCCATTTAAACCAGGAAGTTATGAAGAATATGAAATTTTAAACAATGGTAGAACGAAATTATTAACAAAAGTAAACTATTATCAACCTGGAGACGAGCCTCATTTTGCAGCTTTTGTTCCTTATAATAGTTTGTTGAAACATGTAATATTGTAGTATTTATAAACCTTAAACAAACAAAATAATCTAATAAATTATATTTCAGGTTTGAGTAGTACAGATGTATATGGAAATATAAGAAAGCTACTTTCGGTTGCTGTGAAAAAAAGACTCATGTCTGACAGAGAAGTTGGTTGTTTACTATCAGGTGGTCTAGATTCCAGTTTAATTGCAGCTTTACTTGTAAGACATGCAAAAGAGATGAAATTTCCATATAAAATAAAAAGTTTCGCAATTGGTATGGGAAACAGTCCAGATATTATTGCAGCCAGACAGGTTGAAAGTTACATTTTTATGTAATGATATGTTCCTCAGGTTCATAATTAAATATAATAATATTTATTAGGTTGCAGAACATATAGGAACAGAACATCATGAAGTAATATTTTCCAAAGATGATGTAGTTGATATTTTGGACAAACTCATTTATCAATTAGAGACCTGTGATATTACTACAATTCGAGCATCTATTGGGTAAACTACATTGTACAAACAAAGTATCTTAATTTTATGAATCAATAATTTGTACATGTTCAGAGATATTAATTTTATTTTCAGTATGTATCTTATCTCAAGATACATAAAATATAACACAAAAGCAACTGTAATATTTAGTGGAGAAGGTGCAGACGAATTGGCACAAGGATACATTTATTTCAGAGATGCACCAAATGCAACAGAAGCTCACAATGAGTCTGTTCGATTATTGAAAGATATATATTTATATGATAGCCTGAGAGCAGACAGAACAACTAGTGCATTTAGTTTAGAATTACGAGTTCCATTCTTAGATATCCAATTCACAAATTATTATCTATCATTAGATGCTGCTTCAAGACAGCCTCAAGGTATGGTCTAATAAAATAAAAAAAATTGACGAATTAAATTAAAATTTAAATATATTATTCACTACAGGAGGAATTGAAAAATATTTATTAAGATCTGCATTTGATGATACGAATCTGTTGCCCTCAAATATATTATGGAGACATAAAGAAGCTTTCAGCGATGGTGTAACATCGTTCAAGAAATCGCTTTTCCATATTATAGATGACATAGTAGATGCCCATATTTCACAGGAAGAATTAGAAAAAGCTTATTTAAACTTCCCTCATTGTCCTCCAAAAACTAAAGAAGCTCTTTACTACAGGTCTAATATTTATCTTCGTACTTACTTTATGCTTTACTAGTACTCCAAAAATAAATATTAATTTTTACACTTCAGAAAAGTTTTTGAGAAACATTATGCAGAACAAGCTAAAAATTTTATGCCATACTTTTGGATGCCACGGTGGACAAAGGGAGTTTGTGATCCATCTGCAAGATTTATTGCACATTATAAAGCAGATGTAGAAAATAATCATAAAAAAAATAAAGCAGAGATTAAAAATGCAAGAATCAATTAATATCCTGAATATGCACAAATAATTAATTATTATATAAATTAGCTAAAAAAACTGTGTAAGGAATGTCTGTAAAAGAATATTTTCTGTTACGATAATGTAAACATTTGAATACTAAAATATTTGTGTAAATAAATTACCTTGTCTTTATTAATTTCTCTGTCATTTCTAAAGGCAGTAATGATAAATACTAATAGCGAGAAACGTAAAAATACGAAATAATTTTTTATTATAAGGAAAAAAATTTATTGAATTGAAATTACCCCTGGTGGGACTCGAACCCACAATCCCCGGTTTAGGAGACCGATGCCTTATCCATTAGGCCACAGGGGCTGGTATGAAAAGATTCTTACATCTTTAAATTCCTTTAAAAATATAAAAAGATAATTAAATATTATTAATAAATTAATATAGATATAAATGCTATCCCTAAAATATTTACGTTTTTCTATTGCACACATATATCTATATATACACATATATCATAAAATAATTAGAAATCAATAATGCACCTGTTATACGTTATACTGGTAAATTACAAAATGGTGACACATGGTATCTTGTAGTAACATCGTTGTGTGCTCTTTTTATCTTTAGAATGCACTTTCATCAGATAGTCAGAATTTGAATAAGGCTAGAAAAAAGTGTTCCAACGTAAGTTGGAGCATATGTAATTTTTTTGCTTGCCGTAAATTGCTTTTAATAAAAGTAATGTTAGTAGTAAATATACCGTTGTATATAATACAAGCTATGTAATTTTTTATTCTTTACAGATGATGTCAACAAGATATATTTCTTTTATATCTGGAATAATAATAGCTTCATTAACATGGGCCTCTAGTTTATATCTTTATTCAAGATTATCTCAAAATACTAATACTGCAAATCCAACAATGTTAGTATTAGAGAATTCAAAGTTAGGAAAAGACTCCCAATTTTATCATAAAACTTATAGTAATCAACATCTTAAATTCCACAATAATTTAATTGCTCATCATGACAAACAAAGTATGATAGATAAAGGTACTTATAATTTAAGGAGAAATGCCTTTAAAAATAGTGACAAACTATTACAACAATTACAACCTGTACCAGTAAAACCTGCTGTTACATTAGGACAAGGTATATTCAGAAAACTAATATTTATTTTAAATTCTTGATATAACATTTTTTAATATTATTTATCATTATATCATGTATAATTGTTTTTCAAACCATTAATTTGATTCCATATTGATATAGCATTTATTTATAGGTTTAGATGAACTAGGGATGGTAAAAAATTTTGAAGATCAACGAAAACGAGATGAAGGATATAAAAATTATTCCTTTAATATATTAGTATCAGATAACATTGGGTTGCATAGAGAATTACCAGATACGAGGCATAAATTATGTGAAATACAGAAGTATTCTTCTAAGTTACCAAATGCTAGTATTGTTATATGTTTTTATAATGAACATTATATGACACTTTTAAGATCCTTGCATTCCATTATTGATAGAACTCCTGCAAGTCTTCTACATGAAATTATCTTAGTAAATGATTGGAGTGATAGCAAAGCGTTACATGAAAAGATTGAGACATACATTGCCAACAATTTTAATGGTAAAGTGAAATTTTTTAAAACAGAGAAACGAGAAGGATTGATTAGAGCAAGAATGTTTGGTGCAAGAAAAGCAACTGGAGAAATTTTAATTTTCTTAGACAGTCATATAGAAGTAAACAAAAGATGGATAGAACCCCTCCTCTCACAAATTGCTCATTCAAAAACTATCATTGCCATGCCAGTTATTGATATAATTAATCCAGACACATTTCAATATACTGGTAGTCCTCTGGTAAGAGGAGGTTTTAATTGGGGTTTGCATTTTAAATGGGATAATGTGCCAGTTGGTACATTTGCTCATGATGAAGATTTTATAAAACCTATAAAGTGAGAATATATGTGTACTTATTTAGTTACATGTGTACTAATATACTAGTTTCCTGTAATATATATGTTAGCAATTATTATTCAATAGGTCTCCAACAATGGCTGGAGGTTTATTTGCAATGGACAGAAAATACTTTACAAAATTGGGAGAATATGATGCTGGTATGGATATCTGGGGCGGTGAAAATCTTGAAATATCATTTAGAGTAAGATAATAATTTTTTTAACCATATATTTTTTATTCCAATAATAATTTGTAATGTCTTTTAGATTTGGATGTGTGGTGGAAGTATTGAATTAATACCATGCTCAAGAGTTGGACATGTATTTAGGAGAAGGAGACCATATGGTACATTTGATCAACATGATACTATGTTGAAAAATTCATTACGCGTCGCACATGTTTGGTTAGATGAATATAAAGATTACTTTTTAAAAAATGTTCAAAAAGTCGATTACGGTGATATTTCGGAAAGATTAAATTTAAGGAAGAGATTAAAATGTAAAAATTTTGCATGGTATTTAAATGTAGTATACCCTGAACTAGCATTACCAGATGATAATAAAAATAGATTAAAAGATAAATGGGCAAAAATCGAACAGAAACCGATACAACCCTGGCATTCTAGAAAAAGAAATTACACTGATCAATATCAAATTAGACTTTCTAATTCAGCATTATGCATTCAAAGTGAGAAAGATATTAAAACAAAAGGTTCTAAGCTTATATTAGCACCATGTTTAAGAATTAAATCACAGGTAACTAAATACATTATATCTCTTCAAATTAAGTTTCTTTAAATTTATTTCAATTTTCATAGATGTGGTATGAGACTAGTAAAAACGAATTAGTACTTGGCCAGATGCTTTGCATGGAAGGAGCTGAGAAAGTTCCAAAGCTTGGAAAATGTCATGAGATGGGTGGTAATCAAGAATGGCATCATAAAAATACTGTAAGTATTTATTAGTTCTCTAATATTTACAATTTTAAATTATATTCTATTTACCAAGTAAATATATTTTGCTTAGAATAATACACCTATATATAACATGGCAGCTGGCACATGCTTGGGAATAATGCGTGGATTAAAAAGTACACAAATAGTAATGGATTTGTGCACTAAAAAAGATACAAGCTCTATATCATGGGATTTGGTACACTCTAAAATTCTTTTAAAAGAAATTAGGTGACATCAAATGGAGTAGTGGTAGTTACAGAAATAAAAGATAAAAAATAGATTTTTAGAGAAAAAAGGTAATAAGAGGAAAATTATCATAATTATCATAAATTTTAACAAGCGTTTGTGATATGGAATAGATTATTATGAAAGTTTTAGGATTTTTATATTGTTTTATACGTTGCATTCTATAATGTTATTTTACATTATGAAGATGAAATAATAATTATTATTATTAAAAATGTATAAAAGTAAAAATTGAATTTTTTAAAGAATTTTAAATACAATTTTAACCAATTTTTAATATTATGGAACGGTTACAATAGCTGATATTTTATTAATAGAAATGAATTTCTCTGAAAGTAGAAACATATAAAACATATACATATTTAATCATATGTGTAGATATGTACATATATATATAGGGTGGTTGGTAACTGGTGGTACAAGCGGAAAGGGGGTGATTCTACGCGAAAAAAGAAGTCGAAAATATAGAATAAAAATTTTTTTTTTTTAATTTTTCCATCGAGACAACGATCTACAGTGAGATCCGTTTTAACGAGACGTGATAAGGTGCACACGTACCGAGCGAAAATTCAAAGTCGATTTTCTCGAAAACAAAACCTCAAACGAAAAATTTTTATTCTATATTTTCGACTTCTTTTTTCGCGTAGAATCACCCCCTTTCTGCTTGTACCACCAGTTACCAACTACCCTGTATATCTGTACATACATTGTAACATTCAAGTCAATGTAAGTCAATGCAGTTAAATGCAGATGTCAAGCTCAACGCGTCGTGTGTTATCGGAACCATAAATAATGTGTCATCAAGGTTTAAACTGGAGATCTACTGGCAAGTACGCTAATCAAAGAACATTTGCTCCAGTCTATTTATATGAAGCCGTTTCCATTAGTAAACTAAACTGGCCCAGCCACTTGAAAAATCGATTCTGTACACGTATATGGAACCATTTCTACTTAAGCTAAGTTCAAGTGCCTTGAAGGCCCATTTAACTTGGGCTAGCATGAGATTGCCTCGTGACCTTACAAAAGCTTATCAAGGGGCCTTCTCCTCAATCATTTTATGTGATGATTTTAAAGAGTTTAATCTATTGTTCCGATGAAATTTCGGGAAAGTCACGTACCGAAATCCGTTATCTTCAGGACAAAATGTACGTCGTGCATACATCGTGCATAACAAAACAATATACAAATTTTCTGATGACCCACACACCTTCACTCCTTTATACTCGCATCAGGCAACCTTACAAACCACCTACAAAAATGACATCTAATCAAAAAATTTGTACATCGATCATCCGAAATAGCTATTAACCAATAACATTATTTCTATGGTATGTAGCTGGGAAACTGAAAAATTAACGTGATTCGATTCAAGCAAATAGATAGATCAGATTAGATTCTCTCGAAAGTATAATATTGGCATAAATAATGAATATCATAATGACGAAGAGATTTTCTGTCATAAAATACGGTATATACACTTGGCTGCTAATTGACAAAAACCCAAAATTTATTAATTTTATTTATATTTTTAAACCCTTGCAACAAGTTTTTTGTGCACTACTAATAAATTTTCAACATAAATAGGTTAATAATTTTTTATAAGAAATGCTATGATGAATCGATTAATGTATTAAAAAATGTAAAACGTTTCATTTAAAAAAGTGAAGTTGATCTCCGGCTTCGGTTCCCGGACAATTTTTACGATATAGCCATGAAGAAATGGCATATAGCTTTACAATGATTTCGACATACAACATGTATTTTCAAATTTTCTATTTTCACTTTTACTCGCCTTAATTGCAAATATTATGTCCATTGCTCCCTAACTGTTTGTATCTCAAGCAGCACGATCACGCTGTTTAGATTTTGTGTCGGAAAGGATGACTAACGGTATTTTCTATTTCATTGTTATCTTCTCAATAATTTTTATTGAACAAAACTTGAAATATTTATAAACTAACAGTACGCATATATAATAATATAGATATATTTCATAAAGTAACAAATATGACGAGCACTATTGCGCCGCTTGGTTCTCTTCGCAAATGATTAAGACAAGCGTTATCGCGCTGTTCGGGATTTTTCGACCCTGTTTTTTCAATGACTCCTGGGACTTAAATGGCTGAACAAGGTTAAAAACCATGGTAATTATCGATATCACACCCATTTCATTGATTTCAATAATTTTTAGAAATGTTGTAGAAATCAGTATTTTGAACAACTTTTTGCGATATATACAACTGCTGCTTGGCTTTAATTTACGAGATATTTGCAAGAAATTGTCGGTATCACTACACTACATTCTGTCAATAATTGTGTGTCCCTGACTGTGTCACAAAGCCATGAATTAGCGATAGAAAAACCAAGGGAGTTTAACGAACATCCTGCAGGCTATCGAAACGACAATGTAGAGAGTATTCCAGTGTCAGAAAACAGTAACAGCATGGCAAACTCAGACCTGGGCCCCGGCGACACCCCTTCCATAAGAGCCAAACCCATAGTATATAAACCTTTCTAAAATCAGCTCTCCACATTCTCTGTTATAACTCTGAACCGTCACTCTGTTGGATTCATACAATAAATTTTACTACTATATCTAAAGTTCAATTCTTTACCTTATTTGTGAAACGTTCGAACTGCGACGCGAGGAGATTGTCACGTAAACTTGAGGGTTGGAAGATAAAATAAAATAGCTGAGTCGTAACACAACTATTAATTTTGTTTTAATTAAACTTTATTATGAATTCAGCAATCACAATGGAATACACAGTGAATTAACATAAATCACAATTCACTCCAACCACGTTATGTAAGACTTAGTTACACTGATACGCGACTGTTATAAGGGTAGAGACCGGGAAAGATATGTTGACTATTCTAAGGATACAGAATAAGTGAAATTTTACTGACGATACTGTGTCTGAGGAAAGCTATGGGTGGGTGTGTCTAAGGACACAGGACTATCGGATTTGTTGATTACGATTTTGGTTAGACACCGTCTCCGATTGGATAATAAGACGTTTGGTGGACCAGGAAGGATTTTAGCCGCCCTCGTGAGAAAGTTGCTAACGGAACATACCAGACATGAGGAAAACCAACTTTCCGTGTTAACCCGTAGTAAACAATAAACGTGAAAGGAAATCTGAGACAAGAGATACTCGCTTGGTTCGAAGGACCTTAACTATGAAAATTCCAAGACCCCTGGTGGGTACTTAAGACTATTGAAGATACGCGCCAAGGATGTGCAGACATCTGGGCGCCATCCTGCCCGCGGTGTGTGGCCTGGTCTCTGATGTGAATTGACGTTACAAGATCACCGGTGATCTGTCAATTTCGTGATTTCCCGTGTCTCCGACGTGACAACAGCGTATGCGTCTGTTTGGTTATTGACCGCTGACTGTTTATCTTCTATTTATAAACGAGGGTCGAGGAGCTTGGAAGTTCTGTGCACAATGTGTATTTGTGAGACTATAAGAAATATCTGTTATAACCTAATTAAAAGTGAATAAATATAATCGATGTATTGGATTTGGGTTAATTTTTTCAATCTAAGCCACCAAGAAGCGACTGGAAACGCCTCCGCAAAATAAGAGCAATTGTACTTTTCGTAAAATAATATCAGTATTCATCAGTAATAATAATATTCATCTACTATCTTTATAATTACATAATTTATTAGTTGTCTACACTTTACGATGATCGGATTGAGAAGCCTAACCCAAATCCAAACTTAATACATTGATGATATTCACTTTTCATTGAATTATAAGTTGTAACAGACATGTTTCTTATAGTCTCACCTTTAAGCTCGGTCGACCTTTGTTTATAAACAGAAGCTAAGCGATCGGCGACCGGTAACCAATATACAGGGTTATTCACTTAACTCGGAACACGCGTTCACGAGAACATATGAGAGTGGCAACATTGTAACATGTACGCTTATTATCAGAGTCAAATGTCGCTCGCCATGAGTTGTTGTTAGAAGTATAATTAGGCGAGAACAGAGAGCGGTTTGGTAGTCACCGAAGGATTTTAACGCTAGAACTACCGACATTTGAGACGTAGCTATCTCTACTAAAGCCAGTCGAAATGACTGGTCTTTAAACAATACGTAATAGTAGAATATTTTTATATTTATTGATCTATTATTATCTTACAAAAGGAACTCCATGTTCTGAGATCATAAAAACTATATAATAACATCTTTAACAATAAGTACAATAATGAAGAATATTCAGTACTAAAACCTTTGATAACAAGAATGTTAAAATAAATTTCCATTGGTAAATATAAGAAATATAATATAATATAATAATAAACGTAATAAGCGTAATAGAATAAATAAAGTACAAATATAATTTAAATTATTAGGTACAAAATTTATTATTCTTACAAACAAACTTTCTTCAATACAAACGTAAACTTTCTTCTGTGTGCATTTTTCACAAACATATTTTTTACAAAGATTGCAAATGGTGGTGGTCTTATTATTGTTATAGTACCTTATCTGACACCATTTGCGAGAATAAGGTGAGTTCTTTGACGTACTTCCGATCTCAGATGCTCCATGTTCTATCCGAGATTTTTCATTGTCAGCGGCAAGTTCAGTTTGCGTTTGTCATCCGGTGTTCTATGGGTCTGCCATACTCTTCTTAGTCTACATTTTTCTGCTATTTTTTTTAATATGTAATGGGGATATTCACGTTTGCTGATAGAAATCTTAGTAGGTGTGGAGGAGCGGATAGCGTTTATTATGCTCATGTTTAAGTATTCCGTGGCTGCTTCGATATCTTCATTAGTTTTTAGTGAAGTTAAGGCTGAAGTTGAGTGATTAAAAACTTCTCTAAAGAGCTGCCAGTTGGTGAGTTGGTTATGAATAAAGCCATTAGGTGTATTCTCGATAATTGTTGAACTGGCTGTTGCTATCACGGGGGAAGGATCAGAAAAGAGATCAGCCGAGGAGTTGATTTGGACGTATCTTGGCGAGATATTTTTAGTTATGAAGAATGGACGTATCGTGGCGAGATATTTTTAGTTATGAAGAAGTCAAGAAGGTCAGGTATTTTGTTAGTGTCAGTGGGCCAGTATGTGGGTTCGTATGTGGTGAGGTAGTTGACATTGTTGGTTAT